GAGGAGAATCATTGTGTCCTTCTTGCAAAGAACAATCCTCCTGAAGCCAAGGGCTCCAGCAAAGTGTTTCTGCCAAAAGATGCTCGGGCCATGCTTCTACCTACTCAACCTTATGTATTCCCTACTCCCACCACTGTTCATTGTTGTGTTACAGAGAGAGGGCCAGTGGGTGAGGGACAGTGCTGACGTGTCACAAATAGGAGAAAGCTGGGGCTGCTCTCTCCTGCCGAGCCCCATTAGCTCTGCCAGCACCTCATGGGGACACAAGGCCTGAGTGAAAGGGTGAGAATTGCAGAAGGGCTGAGCTGGAAGGGTGACCCAGCAGAATTGTCGAGTCCATTACCTGGCCCTGCACAGACATCAACAAACCCAGGCAGTACATCCCTGAGAGCAGTGTCAGGAGGGAGGGAGGCAGGAAGGCAGGAAGGCAGGAAGGCAGGAAGGCAGGAAGGCAGGAAGGAAGGAAGGTGCAGATCTGGTGTTCACCAGCGCCTGGAATCTGGTGTTTGCTGGCACCACCAGTGCCCAGATCTGATAATTTGCTGGTGTCAGGCTCCAGAGCCGGCAAATTGCCAGTGCTGGCACCGCCCAAGTCTGGCACCGGTACCACCCAGACTTGGCAAGTTTCTGGTGCTGGGGCACTCAAAGGGTCCGGCTGAGCAGGAAAGGTGGTCCTGAGCCAGGAGCTTTCCTTGACTGCAGCAAAGCCTCAGCATGGAAAGACTTTCCTGGAACTCTGTCCTTGGCCAGAAGAGATTGTCCCAGCAGAGCTGATCCTAAATTTCTTCTCCCAGGCAAGCTTTAGGACATGGAACACAGAAAAGCCAGAGCTGAGTCTCAGCTTTCTGCAGTCCTCCAGAAAAATCCTGTGTGTGAAGCAGCCTTTGAGCAGGGTTTATATGCCAGGTGTGGGCAATTCAGAGCCCTTTTCTTTCCCTGTAGGCTGAGGCTCTGACCCTTGCCCTTTCCAAAGGCCCTAGAGCTGCCTGCCAAGGGGTCTTTTCCTCTGGGATGAGAAGTCTTGCTGGAAGGCTGTCCTCAACCTGCTTTTGCTGCATATATGCCTGAGGAGTGCTCATTGCTTTTAGTCTCAGGTCCTGTGTGTGTGCAGGTGAAATTAGGGAAGGAGGGAGCAGCTCTGCAGGGTGGAGTTGGCTTTTTTTGGTGTTTGTTTTTTTTTAATGAGCCTTCCCTGTCAGCTCTGGGCAGAGCTATGTAACTGTATCGGACACTTGCCGGTGGCACTGTGGAGGTGGCCAGGGGGACCTCCCCTGAGCCCAGGCAAGGGTGTTCATTGGCCGGTCAGTTCCATTGACTGGCCGTGGCTGTGGGCGCGTGGGAGGGAACGCTGGGGCTGTCACCACTGGAGTGTCACACACAGGGCAATGCTGGGGCTGTCACTGCTGGGGTGTCACACACAGGGCAACGCTGGGGCTGTCACCGCTGGGGTGTCACAGACAGGGGAACCCTGGAGCTGTCACTGCTGGGGTGTGACACACACACAGGGGAACGCTGGGGCTGTCACCGCTGGGGTGTCACACACACACAGGAGAACGCTGGGGCTGCCCTTCTCCTGCCCTGTGCCCAACAGCTCTGCCAGTGCCTCAAAGGGACACAAAGGCTGAGCCAAAGGGTGAGAATTGCAGAAGGGTCTAAGCTGAGAGGGAGCCAGCAGAATCATGGAGTGTAGCCCCTGGCCCTGCACAGACAGCCCAACAATGGCAGCCTGTGCATCCCTGGGAGTGGTGTCCAAAGGCTCCTGGAGCTCCGGCAGCTTCAGATCAATCCAAACAGAGCAAGGAGGAGAGGGGCGGGCA